TATGAACTGATGTAAAAAGGCTTTTAAATAAATTTGAAGCTTTATTTTTAATTTTGATCATTTATTTTACATCAAGAAGGGAACGTCTTTGTCGTATTTTACTTAAATTCTCATTTATTTTGCGTTTTCTGTGTGGCTTTGGGCCTAAGGACAGATAGTTATAGTTCGTAATTTTAAAGAAAATTGTCTATTTTAGTTAATTTTTTTCAAATTCTTCAGATTATTACCAAAGAAAGGCTAGAGGGCTGATTTTGAAACTGTTATAATAAAAGATGGCATTTGAAAACTTTTGATGAGGGAAATTGCCATCATATTTACATTTTGAAAAGTGTTTCCTTATTTACGCACTATTGACTTCCTATTGAGACTCAGAATTTTAAGTACAACTGGTAAAGAATTCAGTGGATTAAATTCAGTAAATCTGAAGTCACTGGAATAAAGGGCCCTAAGAAAAAAATGTGTCAATTTTAAAGGTCTTTCCTAACTGAAGACCATTTTGTGATCGAGCCAAAGGTTAATAAAATCAGTAGTGAATGTAGCAATTTTACAGATAAGCTATTCACAACAAGTGTAGTTACTTGAATAAAAAGCTAATTCAGTTCTAAAATGCCACATGCAGTAACAGTGAATAGCTGCTTTTAGGTGCTTTCTGGAGGAGGATAAAATACAGAATCACGGCACTCTTCTCTTCCAGCGTCCCTGGCTGCCTGTAAATTGCTGTGAATGGGGCTGTGGGCTGACAGGCTCTATTAAGACAAACTGCCTTTCTCATCGGAGAGATAAAATAAATCAGGTGTTTAGTCAAATTAAAATACTTCAGCTGGAGCAGGCCCTGGGGAGCACTGATCCACCTGACTAATCTGAGAGAAACTCAAGACAGATGTGGTTTGGGGATAAAGACAACCCCTTGGAACAAAAAAAAAGGAGAGGAAAACTGGCTTCACTGTCTTTGGAGTTGGATAATAGATACAGTTTATAGTGGAGAGTGTCAGGCGCACACTGTGTGTGATATTGGATAAAAGCAGACACGCTGACTTGTAGAGATGCTGTGCACAGAAGCTTTTCTGCTGGTTCCCTTTCTGCACTTTGTGAGACTACCTCTCTTTTTGTGTAGGAGGGAGAAGAGGCTATTTTTTTGGTAGTGCTTTTTAAGAGAATCACTTTAAGATAGCCTGAAAAATGTGAAACAGATGATGTCAGACAGCTACTGACGACCTCTGCCAACCTGGGCAGATCCTCAGAATCTGAACTACATTTCTCCCAAGTTGATTTCATCAAACATCAAAACATGATTTAGGTTGGCATGTCCAACCTGTGGCCTGCCGACTTCTTTTTCCTTTTCCTTTTTCCCCCTCATTTTGTTTTTTGCGTGAAGAGGAATTTTCTTGTGCCACATATGAAGTGTGTACCAGTTAATATACATAATCAATAAAACTTCCTTTTAAATATTTTTTACCATAAAAATTTAAAGAATGGGTGGGAGGAGGCAGGCCACTGGTTGGATGAATTTGATTAGGATATGATTAACTCAAAAGAGGATTCTATAATCTTTTGCATTTTTAACATAACTTGATTATACTGGTTGTACCATTGTGTCCCATAGATTGTCTATTCTTTTGGTAACTTGTGCTAGTTCCTGTGTCACGGCAAAGTATCATGTTTAGAGTATTTTAGGAACTGAAATAGCTTGTTTTCTCAGGTTGGTTGGTTAGTGTGATTCAAACTTGATGTTCTTTTTATTGCAGTAGCATAAACAATTGCTTTTAATTAAAACAGTAAAATCCAGCACCATACATCTAAATGGTTGTGTTTAAACCATTGTATCTGAACAAATCTAATGGACACAGAACAGAAACGTGGCCACACACACACACACACACACACACACACATTCATACACATTTAGAGAATGTAAACTATTTAACTATTTGATTTCTCCTTTGTTTGGTCCCCAGGGGCAACATGGCTGTATGTATATATAAAATTACCTATTAAGGGGGAATTTTAGACTTGTTACACTACTACTCTTCACTCTAACCTCATGTTATGCCACTTGTATCTTTTCAAAATATGTTAGTACTTATTCCTCAAGTTTAAGAAGATAGTGACAGCCTTATATGAGTTCCTGAATGCTCAACTGACAAGTACTTCTTTCTTTCTGCCTTTTCTTCTTACACGTGTATCTAAACTCATTGAAAAAATTTATTGAGATGTCTCCCAATGTTTATAATTAAACAATTTGAATGTCATGATTTGTAAATAGATTCAGTGAAATGGTGTTACACTATAAATTCAATTGCTTTTATACAAATATATCTATAAACAATAGAAGCAGCAAGGTATTTGTAGATCTCTTGGTTTCACGCTAAACAGAAGAGGGTAAGATGTCATTTGTGTGTTATCCTTAGCTTCTGTTTCCTATGCAGAGGATAAAGGAAAATAAATTGAAGATTATTGAAAAGACTTTTTTTGACACGGGACAAGAACAATTATCCAATTTTCCCTGGGAAATCTAAATACTAGATATAGCTCTTTTATTGGCCCTTGGCCAAAATATCCTGTGAAAGATTTTATTAACAAAACAGTATAGAATACAAACTATCCCAGTATCCAATGAAGTTTTTCTTAAATCCCATCATATAGATAAGTGTAACAAGAAAGCCACATATAAATTAGAATATTAAAATATATGTAATAAAATGTGCAGATACTCCATTTATTTCATAGTTTTCAGTCAAATCCCCATGCTGCAATCATAACAAACACATTACCCTTGCTTAAATGACTTTAGTGATTTTGAATTTTTCTTAGAATAAATACAAGGGAAGATCATTAAACATGATCTGTAAGAGATGGAATAGTAGGGACTTTTCCTATCTTTCTAGCCTATCTGGTACTCTACTCCCCTCCATTTTCCTTGTTCAAATTTTATTACCTTTATTCAACTTCTAGAACACACAGAACCCCTCCCCCCAATTACACGCACACACTTGTATGCACATGCACATGGCCATTGGCTGCACTGTTTTCTCCTTTTAGAAACCTCCTTGACCAAAAACTCCTTCCAGGTCTTTGCCTCGTTAACTCCTATTCATTCTTCTTAAAATAGGTTGCTTTTTCATGTTACTGTCCTGGAATTTGCATGCTCCAAACCTGCTTAAACCTTCCTCCCAAATATTTGTCTTGTTTTAAATTCTTATGAAGTTTTAGTTTACATTTATATTTGTGATTACTTGATGATATAGTGCCTGCCACATAGTTACCACTCAGGAAATACTTATGGAAATAAAAATGAGCAAAACTAGTAAATACATAAATTTCATACTTGTCTTCTGTCTTCTCATTTATGTGTATATTAACATATACATTAATTCAGCTTTTCTGTATTTTTGAAGATACTTTTATGATCTGCTTTGTGAGCCTGCTTTTGTATTTTTATCATTTAATATTTCTGAAAAAAGAAGTTCTTCCTTTTAACAACCTGGAGTTCCTGTTGCTGACATAACTACAATAAATTGTTTTTTAAAATCAATTCCACAACCCAGAAAAAAATAGTTGCTCATTAGTCTTGATATAGTACTTGTTTCTTTATCAGTGGAATATACTTTCACTTTCTAACTTCTCACTATCTTTATTTTGATTTTAGGGGATCTCTCAGCTCAGTGATTCTTTGTGATTCTTTAAGGGATACAGACAGATTTTTTTTTTCTTTTTTTTTTTTTTTAGCCTGAGTTGACATTAAGAGTCCCAAGGTAGTCCTAAATGTGCTAGCTTTTCTGCTGACATCAGTTTTACCTTGTAGGAATCACACACTAGCAAGTGCTACCCAGAATCCCCTGAAGATGCCTTTTCTCCATGGGGCCACTAAGAAAATAGGGCCACTAATACTTAAAATATTGTTATCTTCTCAGATTGTTCTGGTGCTTTCTTAGCAAGATTGAAGAGAGTTTCAAGGAGGTTGGAAGTCTCTCCTTCCACATACACAAAAATTGGCAATCTTTGTCCCCTTTGACAGCTGGTGGCATCTTTCTGAAAAGCTTTCAAATCATAGATCAGTTCTTCATAATGAAACCTGTGTGGCTCAGATTCAGTGGATTGAAATTCTTATGCTCCAGTAAAATGCTCTAATTTAGATTCACAAAAGGATTCTGTACCCTTTACTTAGGAGAGCTGTGCAATTTGCCCATAAAAAGACTGCTCAGAACCATTAGTGCATACCATAAGTGTTCAGCGACATCATATTCATTAAACAGCATATCCTTATGCATAACCTTTTCAACCTCAAAATGTATTTTTTCCCTTTGAAGAATGACATATGGCAATGAAGTAAGAGAGCCCCACAAGCAACATTGTTGCCTTTAAGGATGAACTTGAGAACTTTAGCTTGATCCCTTCACAGGAAAAACAAGCCACATTCAATCATTTCTCACCTGCAGCAACTTTTATTGTTTTTGCTGTGCGTATTCTGTTTCTGAGAGATTGACCTCTGACTTCTGAACTTCAAACTTCAGATACAGATCTTTGCACAACAGAAACATTTGGAGGGCAATGATTAAAAATTCCTTTAATAATAGTTATTAAGCACCTACTGCATCTCAGCTATTTGTATTTGTTTCTTAGAAAGGAGATGATTAGGGACCATTGATATGGTCTGTAGTTTCTGATCTCTAAATATCATAGGCTTACAGATAGGTAGGGTGGTAGTGTGATGATGAGGGAGTGGAGTAGGCAGCTCTGTTTTTAGTTTTTAAAGCTAGAAGGAAGAATGTATAAGGATTTTATTGATGACAATGCTGTTTTTTGGCAAGAACGATGATAAAACCTAGCATTCATTCCACTGTTTTAACTGCCCTGTGGTGTTCTTGCACTCACAATGGCATACAGTCATTGTCCCAGATCTTTCAGTATCTAAGGGAGTCCTTTTCTAAATTCTGCCCACCTTCCCTGATTTCTGAAGATATTCCTCAAGCTTGTGAGATCTCTTCTTGCTTCCATTTTAGGAACACCTGAGAGCCTGGCAGAAAAAGAACGGCAGCTCTCCACTATGATTACCCAGCTGATCAGTTTACGGGAGCAGCTCCTGGCAGCGCATGATGAACAGAAAAAACTGGCAGCCTCACAAATTGAGAAACAACGGCAGCAAATGGACCTTGCTCGCCAACAGCAAGAACAGGTGAGCCCTGCAAAAGGAGCTGACGAACTGGAGATGTAGAATGTGCCAAGCTTAGCGAGTAATCACATTGATTGCTTTATTTGTTGTAAACATTCTTAAAATAAGTAAAAAATTAAAAAGAAGAAAGGAAGGAAGAAAGAAAGAAAAGAAAGAGGAAAGAAAGAAAGACTTTCTAGAAATCTAGAGTCTTGAATAAAACTAAGGGGATATGTGGAAGACAAAAGCATCATAATAACTAGGCATAATGAAAATTATACATTGTTCCAGAAGGTTTGGATTTATTTAATTACTCAGGGACACTCATTCACATAGGCATTACACCTAATCCCAATGTAGTTTAAGGGAAATTACCTCTCTGGGCCTTACTTTCCTCATCCGGAAAAATAGAGTCCTGTTCTAGAACTTTGGGGGTGTTTAACTTACTGGTCCAGTACTTTTCTCTAGCTTTAAAGATAGGGTAGCCATATCTCGGTTTACCCCCAAATAACCCAGGTTTGTACTTGTTTTCCCAGGGTAATTATTAGTACCCCACCTCTTCTACTCACAAGAGTTGTCTTGGTTTGGATGATAAGTTATATGGTCATTATGTGTGCCCTAGGTAGGTAAATCATTGTAAAAAGTACATGGTTCCTAAAAGAAGCTGACTTGATTGACTTAGAAGTGAGAAAGAAGAAAAAAAAGCAAAGTATTAATGTGTATCTTTTAAAAAATAAATCACTTACCCAATTGTTTTTCTTGTCTCATGGAGTACATTAATCTAACAACAGTGATCCTACAGAGTAGTCCCTGATGCTTTAAATCAGACAGACCCAAATTAATGTGCAGTTTTTAGGAATCTGACATTATTACTGGAATTATCTTTTCAGTTAAATGTATTTTATAGGGGTATATACAGCAGTATATGCTCTGTTGATTTTAATGAGTTGTGACGTCTGGTATTTTATGTGCTTGAATATTTGCCCACATGTAGGAATATGGACTCAGCCCCTAATGGAAAATAACATAAAGGAACACTGTAAAAAATCAGAAGTTAGAATGTCATTTAGCCATCCAGAGATGACACAGTAATTAACTATTGACACTTGTGAATAAGCTAGCACAAATTAATCTTGACACATTTGCAGACGAGTGATATCTTACAGTGAACACTTTGTAATTATATTTCAAAATGAAAATTAAATGACACTTAAAACTAGGTTGTCATGCTCAATGAAGCGAGCATGTAGCTCAACCGATTGGCAAATAAAATTCAGAATTTGAGCCACATGGTGCTTATGTACCATACTTCGCTATGTCAAACCCATACGTCTAGAGTGGATGATAGTAATTGCACTGTGGTGTTTTGGATGCATTTCTATGCAGCACTTTATCATTTAGGAGGGACCATCAATATTAGATGCCTAGTGGTATTTCACTAGTTTGCTAAGATGAAATAAATATTCACAAGATCCAGCATCTATACCTAGAGCTGCAGAATGAATTGTCCATTTCTAATTTGAGGGTGACAAGCAGAGTGGGACATTCCAACCTGATTAAATACTCTTCATTTTGTTCATTAAATACTCTTGCATTTTGGGAAGCAGTAGTCTCATTTATCAAACTATATTCTATATTAGGGGCAGCTTTATCATGTTTTCCAGTTTGAACCAGTTATCACCAGGAATTACAAAGCAACATTTGGGAGAAGACCACTATGTTGTCATCTTATGCTAAATGAAATGATATGGGCATTTCCTCCTGCACTAACCCACAGCATTGAAAAGGCTCAGGAAGAATGAATCCAGGGACTGCGACTGATCCACATTCATTGGGTCTTCCATCAAGCCCATTCTAGAATGTTAGCTTTTGGGAATAAGAATAAATAGGAAGAAAACTATTGTCTATAAGAAAGGCACCACTAAACCAAAGTGATCAAGTGCTCTTTGGTCACTTTTCTGTCTTGTTTCATAGGATGGCAATGAATATATTTCTAATAAGGAGCATCTCTCTGGACTTCAAACTGTAACAGCTCAGTTTTTGAGGCAATGAGCATTCTGGTGCCTAACTGTGCTAGTGAACATCATTATCCTAAAGACATTGCACATAGATTGAGTCCTCAATAGGGGTTGTATTAAATGGTTAATATTTGTTTTTTAGAACAGGTAACATATTAAGATCTTCATTTTAATTGTTGGGTGAAGCAAGGAAATCTAAAACTTGTATGTGGATCTTGTACTGTAAAAGAAACACATTATCTTCAAAATAATAAATGGATAAATTTTAAATTACAGCTCAGTTGGTCTTCAACAACACCAAAAAAGCTAAACAGTTTTTTACTTTGAACTATTTTTGTACTACTTGATAATATATGTAAATGTATCAGTTATGAAAATCTTCCCATCAAAAAAGGTTTCACCAAAGTAGAGCATATCAAGTAATAGAAAGTTTTATCCTGTCTTTGCTTACAGATTTCCTTTTTATGTCTCAGTTAAACTCTTTAGACAAATGTGATGAGAGTTTTCTTGTCTTGATCCTACAAAGATGGAATTTCTCATGTCCCTTGATTTCCCCGTTGACCAGTGAAGATTTAGGTGGATTGCTTACAAATGTAATACAAGGCGAGTAGTTTTCACATGTAGCTCGTTTTCACATACAGGTAAAGCAGAGGGTTGGCACAGTTCAAAAAATTTTTTTCTGCAACTTTCTGATTCTGCCACTTTCATTTTATAAAACTCTTTCACACAGAGGTACAGTAAAGCATTCTTGTAATACCAGGAGAGATACTTGAGTTGATGGCAAAGGTGTAAGCATTTCATTTTAACTTAATGAAACTTTATTTCTGATAGATTGCAAGACAACAGCAGCAACTTCTGCAACAGCAGCACAAAATTAATCTCCTGCAGCAACAGATCCAGGTCAGTGTATTTTATTACTCTCATCTGATTATACTTAGAAACTTTCCTCCTTGAAAATGGAATTGAAAATGCTGCAAATGTACCCCTGTCTTGTAAACAGTAGTAATAGAGCTGTTATTCAAGGATGTTGTACACAATTGTACAAGTGGATATAAGAAATATTGACTAGGTAGTGGTTGAAGCATTCTTCTCTGAAATGATGTATAAGCAGAAAAAGCCCTGTTTTTTCCCTTCTGCCATTTACCCAATACAACCAAGTTAAGATATTTTGATTTCCAAGGGAGCCTACAGATACTACTTTTATTGGCTCCAACCACTTTCTGCTTTGTGTTTTATTATGTAATAGTATTATGAAGAGAAGCTAACTTTTATTTATGTGTTAGTACTCATTGGGCCAATTATGAGAAGAATATGAGAAAAGGCTGCTAATAGTTAACTTGTTCCTTAACAAATATTTAACTGTATCCCTTTTAGATGCTGAGGGGAATATAAAGACTAGGGAATAGTAGTCTGTCTTCAAGGAGCTTATAGTCTAGAAAGGAAGAAAAACTTGTTCCTGAATAATTATAACTTTATTTACAGAGTTCCTTTTACTTGTGGCTGTGCAAAACTGTAGATCATGATTATGGTGGACTGGGCAAGGGAGGCAATGGTCTGATTAAAGTCATTCCTTTAGATACTTAGTGATTCATTCAACTAATAATTTGAGAAAGGGAAGTGGTTTCCATTTCTAAATAGGAATGTAGGTGCATGAGTTCTAGAAAGTGTTAGATAAGGACTAGGGTATCTGGTGATTAATCCTCACCATAAACTGTGTTTCTCTCGATTACTGTAGATATTTTCTAAATTATGAGGATTTTTGATTTAATCTAGTTGAGCCAGAATATTGTAAATTATTGCTTTTTTAAGGTTAGTAATACATATTATAAATATCTTATGATATATCATAGGTGATATATATGATACCAGATATATCATAGTTTATTCTAATTTCTTACCTCACTGATGAATACCAGAGTCTATAATGTAAGGTTTTGCTTCATTTTGTTAATCATTCTTATTGTTTAAGGTAGTAGTCACTGTATTTGAAACACTTTGTGTTTGAAGAAGTACTTTTGTATCTGAAGGAGTATGTTTACCTAATTTGGCTTTTTCCCCAGCCAACTTCACTTTTTTGTTCTCTTGTTTTTTGTTATTTGGATTCTATATTCTTGTGGTTTTGCTTTCTTGTTTTTGTTTTGATTCTATATTCTTACTTAAATATGTATGTTTCACAATAGAATCCAAATATAGATGAGATTGAATGTCTTTGGCATTTGTGATGGTCAGCCTTGTACATTTAAATCTTGGAATAATTTCTCATTCTGATATCTCTTTTATAATTCATGCTGAGATTCTTAATTAAATAACTGTCCAGGTGTTACCTTGTTCTGCCCTTATTAAAAATTTCAGTGAATTTCCTACTGCTAAGGTCAAGATTCTTAGCCTGTGGCTTCTTACATTTTTCTCTCAATCCCTCTCTAAGAACACAGTAGGTGCTAAATAACATGATCATTTAGTTCTTTCTGTTACTCCTATTTGTAAAGCAAGAAGTCCTCCAGATGTTCCTATATCAGTTATAATTAATGTTTTGACCACCTCTTTTTATTTATTTCTAATATATTTCACTTCAAAGTTGTACTGTCTGTTGTAATTGATGCTCTTCTGTGGGACTGAAGAACTTAGATGAATGGCAACAAGTTTACAGTACTTTTAGGAAATATTGATAGTGTTTATTATGTATGGTTTTATAGTTATAACTTGACTGTATTCAATTGATATCTTTTTATGAAATTATGGAACATGATTTAAAAATATTCATCTGAATGTTCAATTTGAGAAGAAGGGAATAATTTTTTAAGCTTTCTTATAGAATTTTGATTGGTTTTAACTATTGTAGATCTTTTCATTATTTAAATTTTCAAAATTTATACTGATCAGCACTTAGACTGAGCAGTGTAAGTATAAAATTATAGAGATATTCAATATCAGACTTGCATTCATTTTAAGAAATAGAACTCTAAAACAAAAATTCATATTTTAAGAAATTAATGGAATAAGACCCATATTTACAGTTTCGCTCTGTTCTAAGCTACTGTTTCATGACTTGTCAGTATTTATCTAATCAGTATTAGACAATTCGAAGAATTTTTCAAATCCTGAAAAAGACTCCTTACATGGAATTTATTTATCTTTGACACATACAAAGCAGGTTTTTATGTTGAGATTTTTAGTTATTTTATTGAAAGCCAGTTGGGTTAGCTATATTTTCAAATATAGTTTTTGACGAGTCACAGATGTGGTCAAATAGAAACACCATTGTTGGGGTAATTTAAGTATACCTTATAAACAAAATATAAGGTTTAAATGCTTCAAACATCTTTTAATCACAAAAAAGAAACATTCTCCCATCTGAAAAGCAAACAGGAGAAAAAATAAAACAAAATGATTAAAAATGAAACTTATCTTTTCTTCTAAAAGCAAATAAATACAATTTGAGCATGTTACACTTTTTCTTTTCCTTTTAAAATCAGGAGTCCTAGAACCTATCAGCTAACAGGGTCAGCAAGAATAAGCCATGGTAAGTGCTATGGGTTATAAGTAGAGTATCAGGTAGCTACATTCATGACTGTTCTTCTAGCTTAGAATGCTGACTTCTAAATTAGTAATTGTGGCTTGCAATTTCCAAACTTTAACAGAAAGGGCAGAGTGTCTAACGTCTTGAATGACTGCACATAAACACATTCAGTTCTGTTATAGAGGGGAAAAAGGAAAATCTGAATGGTTTGCACAAATTATAAAACAGGATCTTTCACTATAATTAGGAAAAGGCATGATTAAGATTATATTGTATACTCTTAAGTGAAATAAATAGGACACACATGAATAAATTCCGAATAGTTTCTCTGGTGTGAGAAACTGAAAGTGTAAATAAGGACTAAATGTATAATAGGTAATGTGAAATAGTAAGAAAAGGGGCAAAGAGGAAAGGATAGAAGGGAATGGGATTAATATGAGAAAATGGAAAAATAGGAACAAAATCTTTGTAAATAGGGAGGAATGGAGGGGTTGAAGGGAGGGCTGGGCAAGGGTGAAAAATAAGAACCAAGAGAGACTATGTAAAGGTGCAAATTTCCAATGATGAATGTCATTATATTGTATACCTAAAATGTACCAATGATTAGAATGAATAATCGATAATGTAAAATAGGAAGAAAAGGTCCAAAGGAGTAGGGGTAGTGGGAGGGGCAGGGGAAAGGTAAGAAGGGAAAGGAAAAATGATGAGAAATGGAAAAAATGGAAATAAAGTCTTTGTAAATAGGGAAGGGTGGAGGGCGTGAAGGGAGGGCTAGGAATGGGGAAAAAATAAGAACCAAGATGCATTATGTAAAGGTACAATTCCCAATGAGAAATGTGATTGTGTTGTATACCTACAATGTACCAATAAAAGAATTTAATAAAAAAAAAGATTATATTGTAAAAGTTCTCATGCTTATTTTATTTTGTAGTCTTTCAAAACATACATGTGTAGTCAAAAACAATTTCATTTATATTTTTTTTGCTTGAATATAATTTTAGACATAATTTTGCTTTGATAAATTTTGACTGAACTTTAAAAGAGGTACAGACCATGTAAGTGATGTTGAAAAGTGTGATGATTTTGTGAACTATTTATATATATATTTTTTTTTTGGTACCGGGGATCGAACTCGGATCCTTCTGCTTGCAAGGCAAGAGGTGGAACCACTGAGCTAAATCCCCAGCCCCTATTTTTATATTTTTGATGAACCAACTGTTGCTATTTAAAAATCAGGATCATAATTTTAAATGATTATTAAAATATTTTAATATCAGCAAATCTTTTAGGAGGCTGTTTGCCTAGTGAATTCAAATCCCTATTTGTGCTTTGGAGAAAATGATGATTCCTCTAATTTGTAACATATTAAGTAATTCTCTCAATTTGGAGCCTAGAAAAAATTTTATACATTTTTAAGATTTTCAGAACAGAAGTAGCCAAATTTTATCAAATCTCTGCAAAGCAAAACTAAGAGGTCATAGGATATGGATCCTTGTCTTTGGCTGTAATTACAAGGAACAGATAGGTACTTCAATAATTACATCCTCCCAATCCCAGCCATTGCACTGTAGTATCTTAGCTATCTTTTAATACATTTTATTTCCAAGTTAATTGATAAATAAAATTAACTTATAAACTATGAGATAGTTATAAATAGATCAAAGTATACTTACAGTATTTTAAACAGCTATTAAATGAGGCTATTTTAAGAAAACCAAAATATTTTATCATGATATTTTGATCCATTCCAAATATTTATTCATCTAACCTCACTTGACCATACCATGATTTTAAATTTAGAGAAGATATTCTTCATGGACACAACATATCACATTCTTTGGTTTTTATGGCATGTCAATAGAATACATTTAATGATGTCATTTTACAGCTAGAATTTAGTCTTTGCAAAAGTATTCACGTCATTTAAAATATCTCTGTGAGAAAGTTTTCCAGGGATAAATGGTATTATCCAATTATTTAAATGTCTCTCAGATCTCTAATTTAGAGTTACTCAAGTTGCTTATATATTGTGCCAATCAGGCAATTGACTAAACAATAGTTTCTTAAGAATGGACAGGTTGGTTGGGATTTTATTTGAACGTTTTTCATTCTGGGCTAGGGCCAACGATTTTTGTCAATTCATATACATACATATTTTTTACTGTAATTGTAAGAGTTGAAATTGTTACACTTTGTTTTCTTTATGATTAATATGCAATATTTATTGATCTCCTCTCATCAATTCTTGTTGGATGGCAAATTCAGTCTATAAAAATGCCTGAACTGAATATTATTACTATTTCTTGCAGAAACTCTTTGTCTTTTTGAAAACTTTCTTGTAAATGCTGTACTACATGCTGCTTATTTACTTGTTTCATTAAAG